ATCTCTCACTGGGAATCTCTCACTGGGAATCTCTCACTGGAAATCTCTCACTGGAAATCTCTCACTGGGAATCTCTCACTGGAAATCTCTCACTGGAAATCTCTTACTGGAAATCCCTCACTGGGAATCTCTCACTGGAAATCTCTCACTGGAAATCTCTCACTGGAAATCTGACTGGAAATCTCTCACTGGGAATCTCTCACTGGAAATCTCTCACTGGGAATCTCTCACTGGAAATCTCTCACTGGGAATCTCTCACTGGGAATCTTTCACTGGAAATCTCTCACTGGGAATCTCTCACTGGGAATCTCTCACTGGAAATCTCTCACTGGAAATCTCTCACTGGGAATCTCTGACTGGAAATCTCTCACTGGAAATCTCTCACTGGAAATCTCTCACTGGGAATCTCTCACTGGAAATCTCTCACTGGGAATCTCTCACTGGAAATCTCTCACTGGAAATCTCTCCCTGGGAATCTCTCACTGGAAATCTCTCACTGGAAATCTCTCACTGGGAATCTCTCACTGGAAATATCTCAATAGAAACCTCTCACTGGAAATCTCTCACTGGGAATCTCTCACTGGAAATCTCTCACTGGAAATCTCTCACTGGGAATCTCTCACTGGAAATCTCTCACTGGAAATCTCTCACTGGGAATCTCTCATTGGAAATCTCTCACTGGAAATCTCTCACTGGGAATCTCTCACTGGGAATCTCTCACTGGGAATCTCTCACTGGGAATCTCTCACTGGGAATCTCTCACTGGGAATCTCTCACTGGGAATCTCTCACTGGGAACCCTTCACAGCCGCACCGAGACCTTCCCTAGGCACGAAGCAGACTGTGACATTGCAGCGGTTTCTGATATGAACAACTTAAAATGTTATCTTTATTAGGCAATTCACGTTGAAATAATCATTATTGTTTTTATTGTTTAAACACAAAGCAATTTATATAAAAGTATTTTTTAATGATAAAAATAACTTCTCATCTCCAGCTGCTTGGTGGGGCGGCACCCCATCGCCCCCTAGTGGGCGAACTGCGCCTGGAGAGGAGCAGAGTGAGGAGTGGAGAGGGGAGTGAGGTGAGAGGGGAGTGAGGTGAGAGGGGAGTGAGGAGGTGAGAGGGGAGAGTGTGGAGGGGAGTGAGGTGAGTGAGGTGAGTGAGGTGAGAGGGGAGTGAGGAGGTGAGAGGGGAGTGAGGTGAGAGGGGAGTGAGGTGAGTGAGGGGAGAGGGGTGAGGTGAGGTGAGAGGGGAGTGAGGTGAGAGGGGAGTGAGGTGAGAGGGGAGTGAGGTGAGTGAGGTGAGAGTGTGGAGGGGAGTGAGGTGAGTGAGGTGAGAGTGTGGAGGGGAGTGAGGGGAGTGAGGGGAGTGAGGTGAGTGAGGTGAGAGGGGAGTGAGGTGAGAGGGGAGTGAGGTGAGAGGGGAGTGAGGTGAGTGAGGTGAGAGGGGAGAGTGTGGAGGGGAGTGAGATGAGAGGGGAGTGAGGAGGTGAGAGGGGGGAGAGGTGAGAGGGGAGTGAGGTGAGAGGGGAGTGAGGGGAGAGTGTGGAGGGGAGTGAGGTGAGAGGGGAGTGAGGGGAGTGAGGTGAGAGGGGAGAGTGTGGAGGGGAGTGAGATGAGAGGGGAGCGAGGAGGTGAGAGGGGGGAGAGGTGAGAGGGGAGTGAGGTGAGAGGGGAGCGAGGAGAGAGTGTGGAGGGGAGTGAGGTGAGTGAGGTGAGAGTGTGGAGGGGAGTGAGGTGAGTGAGGTGAGAGTGTGGAGGGGAGTGAGGTGAGTGAGGTGAGAGTGTGGAGGGGAGTGAGGTGAGTGAGGTGAGAGTGTGGAGGGGAGTGAGGTGAGAGGAGAGTGAGGTGAGAGGGGAGTGAGGTGAGAGGGGAGTGAGGTGAGAGGGGAGTGAGGTGAGAGTGTGGAGAGGAGTGAGGTGAGAGGTGAGTGAGGTGAGAAGGGAGTGAGGTGAGAGGGGAGTGAGGTGAGAGGGGAGAGAGGGGCGTGAGGGGAGAGGGGAGTGAGGTGAGAGGGGGGTGAAGTGAGGGAAGAGTGTGGAGGGGAGTGAGGTGAGAGGGGAGTGAGGTGACAGGGGAGTGAGGTGAGAGGGGTGAGGTGAGAGGGGAGTGAAGTGAGAGGGGAGTGAGGTGAGAGGGGAGTGAAGTGAGAGTGTGGAGGGGAGTGAGGTGAGAGGGGAGTGAGGTGAGAGGGGAGTGAGGTGAGAGTGAGGAGGGGAGTGAGTTGATTTAACGGTAAAGCAGTTATAATTGACTCACAGAATTGTGCGAAGTTGCGTTTTCAGTACACGACTTCCCTGAAGGCATTCACCTTCAGCGAGCACGATGCCGATCACACAACGCGGTTCAAATTCGACCCTCAATCGATGGCTGCGCCATCGCCGCACACGCGTAATAAAAAGCAAGGGACAAGTCCTTACTAACAACTCCTCTTATCATTTTTCATTGCTGGAGGGGTTGCCCACCTACCTGAAAATCCTGGCTCTGCCATTGCTGAGGATGGTTTGTGAACATGAGGAATGGGGAAATATGGGGTAATCCACTTATAGACACCCCACTTAAATTACAGGAAAAGCAGAAATTTTATTTAAAAGCCTCTACGTGTCTCCCAGCAATCTCAGTACAACTAATTCAATATTTGAATACTCTCCTTTGTAAGACGTAGATCTTTTGCTTTCACAATACTAAATAGCCTGCTGAAAAGACTGCAAGAGGGCCAGAGTGGTGAATTCATATTCTTTGCATCTTTCGGTAAAGTCACGTAGATAGTTTTTTTTTTATAATCTAAACCCCACCGTTGGAGAGCCAAATCCTTCGCAAGCGCGCGAACACAGACCCACAATTCTGTTTTTACTTATATATAAATAAATAGATATTGGTCGCAAAAGACAGTGTTAAACCCACAATTCCTTTGTTCTGACTTTACAAACCTTCGTAAGATGATCTTGCTCACATTTAGCACCCACAGATATGCACAAGTGATAACTTTTCTTAGGCCTAGGTTATAATTCCCAATTGCAACCACATTATTTATTATTTTATTTGGAATACCGAGCAATGCAAATACTTCTCATGGCATTACTTCAGTATAATGGAACACTCTCTCAACTCATAATTCATAATAAAAGTTTTTGGGTTAGATCGCATTTATTTATAAATGTGTCGTAACCCTCCACCACCCGACACGGCCAATCAGCAAAAAAAAAGTGTCACGTTGACAAAAGACAAATAATTAACTACTTTAGCCCACCGGTGTGTTGAAGAGTGAATCCACATTTACAGTTTGAGTACGACGTTTCGCTGGTAAATACATCCAGCATCATCGGGCAATTCGCCAGAATGGTAAAGCCCTAGCTTGCTCCCGGTTTTATATAGAGCAGCAGGGTGACGTCATCACTTAACTCATATCAGGTGCAGTGATTAGAGGCGGAGGGGGGGGTATTGTAATTATATAATCGATTAGTAATCAGTCATTGGTTATGATTAGTAATGAGTTGTAGATTAGTAATTCTTTAAATCAAAATGTAATGTGTATTATTTAATAATACGCTTCCAGGCCGCACTAAGCCGGTAGCTGTCAGAGCGATTAAAGTTATTCTTGTTCCTCTCAATTTCAATGGATTCTCTAATTAGTCTTTGCCAGTAATAATTAGTTTTACACACCACTGCAACATTGTCAAAATCAATTGAGTGTCCTTGTTGACAAGCATGTTCTGCCACTGCCGACAGTTGTGTTTGAGATAATTTAATATTTCTCTGATGTTCTTTTAGTCTTACGCTGATGTTACGTCCCGTCTGCCCAATGTAGCAGCTGCCACATGAACAATTAATCCGATATACACCTTCTGTTGATAGTTTAGGTAATGCGTCTTTAGTGCAAGATACTAGTTTTTGAATTTTGTGTACTGTACCAAATCTTACTGTAAAGTTTTGCTTTTGCAAAACACGGGCTAATTTGTCAGTTACTCCTGAGATATATGGAATTTTTATTGTTTTAACAATCTGGTCGCTTTCAGCAGTATTGCTTTGCGATCGTGATTTGGCATTCAGTGCTCTGTTAATTTGAGCATTATTGTAGCCATTCTGTCGTAGTGCGTCTTTAACGTGTTTAATCTCTCTCACTAGACTCTCACCATCTGACACTGTTTTAGCCCGATGTATGAGCGTCTTGATAAGAGAGGATTTCTGAGCTGGATGATGATGTGATTCTGCATTCAGATAGGCATCAGTGTGCGTTTGCTTTCTGTAAACGCTGTGTGTTATTTTACCGTTTAGGCCATGTCCAAGCAAAATATCTAGGAATGAGAGTGTTATTCACCTCCATTTCCATGGTGAACTGGATGGCCGGGTTTTGTGCATTGAGATGATTTAGAAAATCATTAAGTGTATCTTTACCATGTGGCCAGACAACCAAAGTGTCATCCACATACCTAAACCAAAAGGATGGTTTTAATGTGCTCAAAGTTTTCCATGTACAAATTTGCTATAGCAGGGGATAAAGGAGAACCCATTGCTGCTACTTCCTTTTGTTTAAAGAAATCCCCTCTCCATAAGAAGTAAGTGTTATTTAAACAATGGCCAGCAAGTTTCAGAATATCTTTTGGTAAACCGGTATTCTTTACTAGTGTATCAAGTAATTTAAGCGATTCGTCCACTGGAACCTTAGTGAATAGAGAAATCACATCAAAACTTACCAGAATATCATCAGGAGTAAGTTTAATATCTTTAATCACATTCACAAGATGTTCTGATATTTGGAATTTGCATGTCTCTCTCCCCGCGGTCGTGTGGATTTTTCTTCGGGGCCTCCGGTTTTACCCTCCACGTTTAGAAACAAGCGTTTACAGTAATTGGCTGCTATAAATTTCCACGTGATAAAACGCTTCGTTGAGCTATAATTTGTGGCCAGGTCACATCTGAAAAAAGCAGTGCAGCTCAATGTGCCTTACCTGGTAAAATAAAGAAGTTTAGTTTAATACATGTTCCAGTTGAACTTACTTTTGCCTCTCAGTAACTGCCTGGTCCAAACCAGTAAATATATCCTGCAGCAGCACACAGCTGATCCGGCTGTTGATTGGATAACCTCTCCCCCGCAGCCAGAAGTGCTTCAAATCCCCCAGATACTCCAGTACCTGCAACACATGCATAAAATAATTTTGAAAATGAACCATAATGTAACAAAGGGGACACTCACAGCAATTAGATTAAGCTTAATTTACACGTCAGATGATGTAGAGATATCCATGTCAGAGGAGATAATGTGATATCATTTCCATCAATCTTCTTGGGGAAAAAGTGACCGCCAATTGTACATAAAGTGGCAAAATCTCTGCAACTGATGGCGGTCTTCATTTTTACTTTATTCCTCTTAGTCTATTCCACACGTGCTTTTGTTCCATCTTCTTTATCCGTGTCAATCAGAGCAAGTAATTCATTTATAAATTAAGATGTGAAATATCCTTCGGTATATATGTTGTGTAACACTTCTTTTGTTTTCACGAGTATTTATTTTACTGAAGGCAGAGAGTGGTTTGTTATCTAATATACACGGTCACCACTATAAGAGTAACGTATATTCTAATGATGTACCAGAAGAGCTAGAAAGCTCAAATGTGTTTGTTTCTTTTATGTAGGCATCCAAAATGTACAGCCCAGATTTAGATTGCTCTCACTTGAACAACCAGGTTGGCCTAAAGTTCTGCAATTCTTTAAGCTTTGTGTACAACATGAAAAAATATGTCGATCTGAAAATCTCCATCATCCGTGAGCCAAGTAATTTGCCTGTTGTGGGGGAGTGCGATGCCAAAGTCAATCAAAAGTGGGCACTGACTGCTCTTGGGTCCAAAGTAAATGGCATAGAGATTAAGCTGCCTTCACGGTACCTAAGCTTCCCATGGAAGGAATTAACAAAGCACTGACATAATCTTAGTTTTTTCGGTAAAGTCACGTTGAGGAGAAACAACAAAATAATAAAATATATATTAAACAATAAAAAATTCTCACGACGTTTAGACCATAACTCAAACGGTCATCTTCAGGTGTGTTGGTTTGTAATAAATTTATTTTTACACGGCGCATTAATTTATTTATAAAAAAACGTTAGCGCCACACGCAGGGATTTGGCAGTTTGCCCAGGACTAGTCCATCTATATTTTGAAAAGAGGAGGGGGGAGACGAAATTTTTTTATAATGTATGCTGTCTGAAAGCCACTGTAAGCGTGAACAATCAATTAAGAACTGAAATGGTTTATCAAATCTTTCCAATGATTGCTAAGATAGAATCCATCTTCTCGGTTGAAATTGTCTCTGTGCTTGTATATGTGGATAGCCTCATGAACGAATCTCTCATGGAAGCCAGATGGCTTACAAAGAACCTCTGTCTTGGAAAAGTCAATGGCATGTGAGCCTACTGAATTAGAACAATGATCTGCTACGGCCGAGGTGTTGGTCCTACCGTGTTTAAGGTCTGCTTTGTGTTCACGAATGCGGTCCGAGACATGGCGTTTGGTTTCTCCAATGTAACTACTACCACAGAGGCAACTTAGTTTGTAGACACCAGGGTATTGTATGTCCGGAATCACATCTTTTACAGACGGAACCAGATCACGGATTTTATGTAATGTGTTGAAACGGACCTGGATCTTGTGTTTATTCAAGATTTTGGAGATCTTTTTTTGTGATCCCAGCAATGTAGGGTAAAGTGATGGTTTTGAAAGGCTCCTCAAGAGGGTTCTTCTTCATGGTTTGAGTGATAGCTTTGCGGATTGTATAGTCGGAGTAACCATTAGCCCTAAGAGCTTGGTGTACGTGCTTGAGTTCACTGCTTATGTGTTCCTGGTCGGATATGCATTGGGCTCTATGATACAGAGTCTTGATGAGAGAATTCTTCTGTGATGGATGGTGGTGGGAATCCGGTTTCAGATAAGCATCCGTATGGGTAGCTTTCCTGTAGACAGAGTGGCTCATTGAACCATCAGGTCTCTTTTTAATTAGGACATCCAAAAAAGGTATCTTGCCATCTATTTCGACTTCCATGGTAAATCTGATGGCTGGGTGTATGGAATTGATGTGGTCGAAGAATTGGTCTAGAGCAGGCCGGCCATGTGGCCAGATGACAAAAGTGTCATCCACGTACCTCTTCCATAAGGTTGGGCGCAGAGTGGCAGTCTGGATGGCGTCAGTCTCAAATTTCTCCATGAAAATGTTAGCTATAACTGGAGAAAGGGGGGAGCCCATTGGGGTGCCCTCAGTTTGTTTGTAGAAAGTTCCATTCCAAGTGAAGTATGTATTGGTTAAACAGTGTCTCACCAGGGGGGGTACCTCAGTGTTTAGTCCTTGATGAACCAAGTCTTCAATGATTGCAATGGTGTCAGGTACAGGAACCTTGGTGAATAAGGAAACTACATCAAAACTGACAAGCAGGTCGTCTGGGGACAGGGAAATACCCTTGATTGTCGATACCAGGTGAGTAGAATTTTGTACCGCAGAGGTGGTCTTTCCAGTGAAAGGACGCAGGATTTCAGACAAAAAACGAGCTAGTTTGTAGGTGGGGGAGCTGATAGTAGAGACTATGGGACGAAGAGGTGTATCTAACTTTATGTATTTTTGGTAAGCCGTATAATCTTGGTGGCCTGGCAGCAGAAGGTTTCAACGAAAACTGTTTAGATTGATCAATTAATGCGGTTGAATCAGAAATTATTTTGTTGGTTTGTGTGACGAGGCTGTTGGTGGGATCTCTTTTATTTTTGTATAACTACCATCGTCGAGTAATTCTTTAATTTTGTTGTTGTATTCTATTTTATCCATGATGACAGTAGCATTGCCTTTGTCAGCTGAGAGGACTACAATATCATTCCTCTTTTTTAATTTATATAATTCAAAACGCTCATCTTTGCTGAGGTTGCTAGCTGGCATCTTAGCGTTTTTGAGGGTTGCAGCGATTTCAGATCTTGCTACGTCTGCAGCGATGTGACCCAGGCCCCTGAGAGCAACGTCTACTTGGGCAATTATATCATTAACTGGTATGTGTTTAGGTGTGACTGCAAAGTTTAGACCTTTAGCTAAAACGGATTTCAGACCATCGGAAATAGAACTGTTACTGCGATTAATTACGACTTTATTAACGTCTAACTTTTTGGTGTGTGGGTCCGGTCTTTTGTTGAAGAGGAGGTTAAATTTGGAAATCAGGTTTTCCTTACATTTGGTCGACATAGTAGCAGCTGAAGAGGCAGTCATATTGTCTACATGTTCCCAATCCGATGTGGACATTATTGCCGTCAATGATAAGTGTGATTTGTAGAGTGTCTTGTCTAACTGACCTAGTTCTGTGCGTATAAGTCTGATTTTTTCTGAGATAAGAGCTAAGCTAGTTTTGAAAAGAATTCGTTTCGCATTAGAAGAAGTTACAGCAGCAGAGGTCAGTGTAAATGCGATTGGTATTACCCCAGAGTCGCGGCATCTCTTCAGGAAGGTGAGAGACTCGATCAGCTGAGCTTTCTTATCCCGGAGTTTGTTGAAGGATCTTAAAGTTATGTGAAAACCCTCCCCGTAGAGGCGATTAAATTTTGATTTAAAGCTTTCGTGACTGCAGTAATTCATATTCTTAGTTTTTTCGGTAAAGTCACGTTGAAGAGAAACAACAAAATAATAAAATATATATAAAACAATAAAAAATTCTCACGACGTTTCGACCATAACTCAAACGGTCATCATTCAGGTGTGTTGGTTTGCATAAATTTATTTTTAAACGGCACATTTATTATTTATAAAAAACGTTAGCGTCCACGCGCAGCGATTTGGCAGTTTGCCCAGGACTAGTCCATCTACATTTTGAAAAGAGGAGGGGGGAGACGATTTTTTTTATAATGTATGCTGTCTGAAAGCCACTGTAAGCGTGAACAATCAATTAAGAACTGAAATGGTTTATCAAATCTTTCCAATGATTGCTAAGATAGAATCCATCTTCTCGGTTGAAATTGTCTCTGTGCTTGTATATGTGGATAGCCTCATGAACGAATCTCTCATGGAAGCCAGATGGCTTACAAAGAACCTCCGTCTTGGAAAAGTCAATGGCATGTGAGCCTACTGAATTAGAACAATGATCTGCTACGGCCGAGGTGTTGGTCCTACCGTGTTTAAGGTCTGCTTTAGTGTTCACGAATGCGGTCCGAGACATGGCGTTTGGTTTCTCCAATGTAACTACTACCACAGAGGCAACTTAGTTTGTAGACACCAGGGTATTGTATGTCCGGAATCACATCTTTTACAGACGGAACCAGATCACGGATTTTATGTAATGTGTTGAAACGGACCTGGATCTTGTGTTTATTCAAGATTTTGGAGATCTTTTTTGTGATCCCAGCAATGTAGGGTAAAGTGATGGTTTTGAAAGGCTCCTCAAGAGGGTTCTTCTTCATGGTTTGAGTGATAGCTTTGCGGATTGTATAGTCGGAGTAACCATTAGCCCTAAGAGCTTGGTGTACGTGCTTGAGTTCACTGCTTATGTGTTCCTGGTCGGATATGCATTGGGCTCTATGATACAGAGTCTTGATGAGAGAATTCTTCTGTGATGGATGGTGGTGGGAATCCGGTTTCAGATAAGCATCCGTATGGGTAGCTTTCCTGTAGACAGAGTGGCTCATTGAACCATCAGGTCTCTTTTTAATTAGGACATCCAAAAAAGGTATCTTGCCATCTATTTCGACTTCCATGGTAAATCTGATGGCTGGGTGTATGGAATTGATGTGGTCGAAGAATTGGTCTAGAGCAGGCCGGCCATGTGGCCAGATGACAAAAGTGTCATCCACGTACCTCTTCCATAAGGTTGGGCGCAGAGTGGCAGTCTGGATGGCGTCAGTCTCAAATTTCTCCATGAAAATGTTAGCTATAACTGGAGAAAGGGGGGAGCCCATTGGGGTGCCCTCAGTTTGTTTGTAGAAAGTTCCATTCCAAGTGAAGTATGTATTGGTTAAACAGTGTTTCACCAGGGGGGGTACCTCAGTGTTTAGTCCTTGATGAACCAAGTCTTCAATGATTGCAATGGTGTCAGGTACAGGAACCTTGGTGAATAAGGAAACTACATCAAAACTGACAAGCAGGTCGTCTGGGGACAGGGAAATACCCTTGATTGTCG